TTTTATGTAATACTTTTCAAAAACATGACATTGACTTGATTAATAAGATGAGAATAGCGGAAAGCATTTTATTAGAACTCAAGGAAATTAGGGCTAATGTTGATGAAGAATTTCATATTTTATATGTTATTGTTGATTCAAAAGCAGAGCTATACGTGTTTAATATTTGTCTCCCTTGACTTGCAGCAAGACAAGCTCATCGTTAAAACATTAATATAGGATCATATAAGAGTATTATAAAACAAATGTCCCCTCTCTTAGATCTATTTATAACCCAAATAAATGAATGGTTTTAATTCATCATGCAGCACTTACCAATTTGCAGATATTACTTCCACAAGAGCCTTACCAACCTTTTTCGGATGGTGATAGAAATAAAATATTTGTTAGATTTTTATCATGAAGATGTATAAGTATCTTATGATGCCTTATTAGCTAATTAATTATGTTTATAAAATTAACTATGGTTGATATAGTCCCAAAAAATGCTATGGATGCTTTGCATTTCAAACACATTTTAGATTATATTGCCAAGTATTAAAAGGGTTCATATATATTAGCAACTCTTCTCATTAGTAAACAAATTATATTATTTATTTTTTTTATAGCTAAATAACGATTTTAAATATAGGCTGTTTTAAAATATACAACCCGGCCCGGATATTTATTTAAAAAATATTTCAAGCCCTGGCCCGGCCCGGTTATATTTAAAAAATTAAAATACGGCCCGGTCCCTTAAATACATACCAAGAAGTACAACTTCTGAAAGTAGATTGGAAGATTTGGATCTTTTGAATATTCATAGGCATTTGACGACAAGCAATGATGAGATAATTTAAAAATTAGCTCAATCCCAACGAATATTGGATTTTACATGTAAATATAAAACATACAAAATAGCCCGAATATATTTAAAAAATTAAAATAAGTAGATTGGAAGGTTTGGATCTTTTGAATATTCATAGGCATTTGACGACAAGCAAAGATGAGATAATTGAAAAATTAGCTCAACCCTAACGAAGATTCGATTTTACATGTAAATAATATATAACATACAAAATACAATTATTCCTTATAAATTTTTTGTGTATTAATTTATATTTCCAACATTTAAATTTTATATATATATAAATTTTAAAGGCTCAAAAAATTTAAATTTCTATTTTGGGTCATTTAAGTGATTCATATAGTGGTTATATTCACTTTATATTTTATAATTCACATTTATTTTTTATATCCGTTTAATATTTTTTAATTCACATTTATTTTATAGTTTTTTATATGACGGTTTATACATATAATTTTTTTATAATTCACATAAATTTGAAATTGTGTATTAGAAATAGTTATTAGTTCTTAATAAATTTATGCTTGATATTTTTAAAAAACAATAATTCTTAAAAATTTTTATTATCTCTCCCCCCAGACCAATTCCTGCGTACGCGCCTGATAATCGCTGTAGCATAGATAAGAGTAGAGGTTGTGGGTTACCACCCATCTCACTAAAGGAAATATGATTGATTATTTTAAGTTTTTATAATACTTATATATCGATATTCAGACTAAAATTTACTCTTATTTCATTTAAATTGATATTATCCCCTCTTTAATTTTCTATTTATATAAAATCATCTCAGAAATTTCTTATAATTAAAAAAGTGTGTGAAAAAATCCTAAAAATTGACAAATAAACATCATCACAGACATATTTAATTTTATTTAAAATCAATTTTTACATAAAAATTATTTATTACAAATTATATTAAAAAAATCGAAAAACGAGACACTTCCTAAGAACGCTATGATGCTTATGGAATAGGCTCTTAACTTTTTTCATTTTAATGTTAAATATGCATAATGCTTAAATAGTATATATTTTAATTTAATCAATGTTCAATCTGTTTGGTGTACGGTATAAATATTAAAATTTATTGGTAAAATAAGAAAATTTAAAAAATAGGTATTAAGATTTGAGATAGAGCTAAAAACATGGAAGCACTATATAATTATAATTAAAAAAAATTAAGTAAACGAAATATACAAACAATTACTATCATTATTATAAAAAAATCAACTTTTTATTGTATTTTTAAATGTGAGACTCAAAACTTAATATAAGTATTCTACAAAACCCTAACTCCAACCCTCACCCCTTCGAATCTGAAAGTAAAGAATTATCTATATTTTGAGAGTTATCAATTCTACCGTAACCAAACTAACTTATTTTTGTATTAAATTTTCAAAAGAGGCCAAAAGTTCATGTAACTTTTTTTTTATACCGCAACTAAATTATAAAAGTATCAAAGTTACAGTCAGAGACATCGAGTCTCACATTTTAAAATACAATAAAAAGTTGATTTTTTTTATAATAATGTAATAATTGTTTGTATATTTCGTTTACTTAATTTTTTTTATAATTATATAGTGCTTCCATATTTTTAGCTCTATCTCAAATCTTAATACCCATTTTAAAAATTTTCTTACTTTACCAATAAATTTTAATATTTATAGTTCACAAAACAATTGAAGCATTGATTAAATTATATACTATTTAAGCATTATGCATATAAGCTTTAACATTATAGTGCTTTCAAAAGTTAGGCAAACCATGCTTAGGACTGCTTCTTAATAAGAGACTTACATTTATATCAAATTTTTGAATATATAATTTGATTCAGAATATAATGAGATTTTTTAACTATTTTATACGCCAAAAGAACTAATAATATCTATAAAAACTCGTAAAATCAAAAAATATTTAAAAATAGGGGAAGAGGAAACTTTAACGTGTTCTAACACGTGTTATTTTTGAAAGGAAATTTAAAATCCGATATTTAAGACTCAGCTTAAGGCTACCATTATAGTTGTTATTTAGCTTAAGTTTCTATATATTGATTGGGAAATTGATTGAAGATTGGCGCCCTCAGATTTTCAATGCTTCTATTATTTTCTACCTAGCATGATGTATAGAGTTATACTTTGTAAATTCGATTTGAATCGGATCATAATAAAACGCAGTCCTAAACATGAAGTTTTCCAAATAAAGAACTAATTTTAAAGCGGCCGAAAGGAATGCATAGATAGTATATATTTCAGTTATGCCTTCAATTTGTTTGGTAATCAGTATATATAAAAAGATTACTAGAAAAATACGAAATTTACTTAAATAAATTTAGAGATTTAAAGAAGAATCAAGAAGCACTAAAGCAATTAGAATTAAATAATTAAATTAACGAAATATATAAAAAAAACATCACTATCATTATTATAGAAAAATTAAGTTTTTATCATATTTCAAAATATGAGATTCGATGTCTCTCTGGCTGTAGTTTTGACATTTATAATTTAGTAGCGGTGATATATAATAGTTGTTGAAAATGTGACACCAAAATAAAACGAGTTAGTTATGGCAAAATTGAAGACAATTACAATAGATAATTATTCCCTGAATTAAGGTTGAACGATTGTTTAGTAATGTAATCAATACCAAACCTTTTTACAATTGAAAATATAATTCAAACACCGTCCCATCCCAATTTTAGCGACTCTGAAAAACGTCCAGTTTCTTGTTTTCTTGTATTTTTTTAAATACAATTCATAACAAATTTTTTATGAGAATATTCTATTATAAAATTAAATATGTGCATATAGTATATTATTGTTTAGTCGTAGATTTTTAAGATTCTTACAAGCACTTTTTTTTATATAAAAGTATAAATTTCTTAGATAAATTAAAAAAAATTTAAAAATTAAGGAAGGGATTATATCAATTTAAAGAAAATGAAAGATTTTTAAGTCTCCATCTTGTCGGGCATGCTTTTTGCAGTTAATTTCTACTTTTAGCTATCTCAGAAATAATTTTATTCAGCAACATTTCATTCACTCTAGAAATTTTACCAAAATAAATTAAATTATATTCGGTTGATTAGATGGTTTAAAAAAAATAGAAAATATATTTTAAATTTTGCGGAATAAAGTATTGATACAAAAGGAAAAAATATGTTAAATTAATTTTAACATTTTGCTATAAATACAATAACCTATTTAAAATAGAATACTTTGCAAATTCACAATCCGCAGATATCATTTATATTTTTTCTTTGCTACGGGAAGATCTCCCCCTCCCCTTCCATAAAAATTATCGCGAATTCGCGACGAAGAATACAAATGAGGCGTAGACTTAGCATGCTGCCGGTTTAAAGGTTCGGGTCCCAGCTTACTGTCGAAAACCATATTTCCAAAATAATTTATTAACATGTTGACAAGGCGATAAAGAAGTTCTTATATTTAAAAAAAAAAAATTTTTGTCTTTCTTTTACTTAGTCACATACCTTACATCAAAAGAAACCTCACACCTACCTTATTAGAACAGCGCCTTGCTCTCTATACTTAAGAGTTATTGCCCGGTCATTTATTAATAAATTATATTATACTTATTTATATTATCGATTATCTATAACCAAAATTATATTTTTTTTATATAATTTTTTATAACAACGACACATTAAAATATTTTATTTTCCAATTTTTATTATTTATTATTATAAATTAATAAAATACCGTAACTGAATTTCTCATTTAGATTTATAATAAATTCCTGTTTCATTTACTTCAAAAAGAAAAGAAAGGATAAATAAAATTTATATAGTAATAAATAAAATATCTTAACATGATTATAATTTATAAGATTTAATTATTTAAAATTTAAACGCAATTTTTTAAAATATATATATTACTTTTTTTTAATAAAAGAAATTATGTATCAAAAAAATAAAATAATATTTTTGAATATATAAATTATATTTTGTATGTGTGTGTGTAATAATAAAATGCTTTTAATAAGGAATTGGCTGAAATTATCATAATTTACGATAAATAAAGATTTATTCGATATAAAAAGTCTTTAAAAATAAATCCATCTTCCATAAACAATAAATAAACAAAAGGTATTTATTTAAAAATTTTAAATTTAAAAAAAAATAAATTGTTTATATAGTCTTTTTTTTTCCTTAAAATTTCGATAACTCAAAATTTGAGATCAAGCTTCTCGGAGAAAGTAAATTCTCTGAGAAGGCGATTTTCATCGAGCGACGAGCAAGAAACAGAAAATACCGATCCCGAAAGTTTTTATCTAACGAAAGACGCAAAAATCCCCGATAAAAATACACACCCCAAGGTCACAAATTTAAATCTTTCGGGCAGCGATTCAGTTAGTAATAGTATAAATAATAGTAATTATCATTCTCCGCCCGTAGACTACAGTGATAGCAGTGGTTACAGCGATAAAGAAATCAAATCCAAAATATCCCAGTCTTCCAACAAAAATGCTAGGATACCCACTTTAAGTCGGCCAAAGGAAAAATATCCGCCAAATATATTAACCAAAGATCGAACTCCTTCGTATTTATCATCACAAGAGGAAAAAATGGAATCTGATAATAGCAATAACATCGCTTATCTGACTCCTGGCGAAGAGTCTAGGTCCCTTAAAAATAAAACCATTTCTCCTCCCAAAAGGCAATTGACTAAGGATGTGGCTAATACTGAACACACATCCGAATACGGATCTCCGCCATCTAAAAATCCTCCTATCAACGTCAGTGTCGATTCAAGGAACGAAGAAGTTATAAAAATGAAGCAAGGACCAGACGGCAGGATAAATCGTATGGACGCCCCAGTAGGACGCAAGCGGTACCATGTCAGAAGCCAAAGCCAGACCGCGAGTCCCTCTACTCCTGACTCCAACATCGCGCCACTTACTCAAAAAAATTCTAACACGTTCTTTGACAATTGTTCGATAGATCAACAACCGTCAAGGGCAAGTGGTGATTCTGGGCGCAGTTTTTCTTCCAATTTTGCGGAAAATTTAAAAGGACTATTTTCCGGTTCCCTATCTAACCTATCTAACGCAGCTCAATCTTTGGTAGCATCCGCTACACCGACTAGTATGATCAACCCTTCTTTCTATCATCAACAAAACTTCATAGGAAGTTTAGGGAGCTCTCAAAGAAGATCTTCAGGATCCGTAGTAAATTATAATAGACGGGGTAGTTCAAAAGTTTTCGATAAATACAAAACCTTGCTTGTCATAGATGAAAGACACACTGATTGGTAAAAATAAAAAAAAATGATTAAAAAAAATATTTTATACTCATGAATCAAATTTTAAAACAAAATGAAGTCTTTTTAAAGCTGGAATCTCCATATTTTCTGGAAATCCCTTCTCATTTCAAATGTTATTTTTTTTAAATTATAATTTAATGTTTTAAATATTCGCATAAAAATGCATATTTGAAATTTTTTTTATTAAGTCTTCTTAGTAGTGTTGTTAAATGCCTCGTTTTGAGCCGATTTTTAAAGACGGCTAACTCAATATTTCATCCAGAAAAATTCCACGCAAACCTGAAGCTTTTGCTCATAGAAGGAACAAAGGTCTAGAAATATATTAACGAAATCTCGAGACTTCGGCAATATTTTTCTGGCTAAAATATTGAGTTAGCCGTTTTAAAAAATCGGCTCAAAACGAGCCATTTAACAACACTAGTTCTAATTAATGTAGTAACATAATTCTCATTAGTGATCTGCATCGAATTTTTCCAGCCCCCGCAATTTTTAAAAAAAAATTTGACCGGTCCGGAATTTAATTTAAATATAAAAATATTTAATTTTTTTTTTGATTGTAAAAAAATATTATACAAATAAAAAAATATTAGCTCCTTGTTTCTTGCAAGAGTTTAAAATTTATCAATTATTTTGACAATGTAATGATATCATATTTAAAATTGGCCCGACCTGGCCGGGCCCGATATTTTAAAAAAATATTAGGCCCGACCCAGCCCGAACCGAAATTATGGAGCTGATCGAATTCTCATTAGGTTTGTTATTAAAATAGCAGCCATGTAGACTAACTATAGTTGCCCTCTAACAGGGGAGGTTACGGTACGATACAATTGCGTCATTGTAATTTTAGGGGGTTAAATATAGTGAACATTTATAGTCAGTATCCATTTTATACCATTTTTGATGAGGGGGGAGGGCACTATAATTGGTTTAAGGGGGGTTAAGATTACTCTGCCTACCCCACCATCAGGCCAATATCATACATATTTTAAAAGTCAATGCACCCTCAATTTTGTCATTATTTAATTAATAATGTAAATAATCATACTCAAGTGCCCATTTATTTTGTTCCATTTTCTACAAATTTCTTTTTAAGGAGTAGATCTCCCAAGCCATTTGATTGGTCATTTAATTATTTATTTTAACTAGTTAAGCGATTTACTTATAATAATTAACACTCTATTTTTTTCCTATTTCTACACATCAAATTATGAATAATTTCAAGTGTAGCTTCTAATAATATTCATAATAATTAAGATATTATAATAGAATTTAAAGTATAAGTACAAAGTAAGTATGCACTTATTAGCTTATTATATGTTGTCATAAATAATTAATTTCCATATAAATTTCAAGGCGAATGTCGATTATGGGTTTATTATTTCAAATTTATATATATAATATATAATATATATATATATAAAATATGAAAATATGATTTTATTTATTTTTTATTGATTTTATTATTTTTTTTGGAAAATTTAATCTATATTAATTAGGTATAAAATATTATTATAAAGGCGTCAATTATTGAGAATACAAAACTTTATCACTTAATTAATACAACGTTCTAATTCTAACTCTATTATTTTTGGGCCAAATTAGGATCAAAACAATATTCTAGGAGTCCTCAGCTAACCCTAGTCCTTCCATGTTACCCAGATGGGATGGAAAAGGAATCGTGGTTTTCTTTTAAATTGGGCTTCTTGGATGGGATTGGATTTAGAGATATTAAATAAGCGAATAGGACTGATTTCTTAGAGTAACCCTTCATAATGTGATTTACCTTCTTCTTGGTAATTGGATTTGGATGACATCCTTATAAAATAAAAACGGCATAATTGAAAGGCCCTTGCATAATTGGCATACGATCCCAACGGGGCGGATCGCAGATAAACGTCTAAGTGATGTAAAGAAACCCTATAAAATAAATCAGGAGAGGATTCATTTATAAACATCAGAGGCCCACAAGCCTCGCTTAAAACATATTCCGTTAAAATATATATAATTTTAAAAAATGAAAGTGGGGCCTAATATTTTTCACAAGCCTAAATAGGGTCATAATATATAAAAAGTGAAAGGGCCAGACAATTCCGAGGGTCGCATTTTTAAAAAGATCGGTCGAGCTTGAAAATGGGATTTCTTATTAAAATTGACCGGGCCCTACAATTTTAACCTCTGATTATTTTATAATTATAATACGGTTATAAAATTATTTTGTATATATAATCATAATTTTGAAAAAATCGAAAGGGATATTCTGGACCGAGCCAGGCAATATCTAACAAAGATAACTGTTGGATATTTTTAGACATTAAATTAATTTAAAGTCAACCCCCCCCCCCCTCACCCCTTTAATAATTTAGTATTATGATGGTAATGATACTAATTATTTCTATAATAAAATTTGGAAAATGCGCCTCGTTATAAATAATAAATATGAAATAGTATGGTAAAATATAGATTTTAAAAGCCTAAAATTTATTTTTATTTTATAATTTACAGATTGTATTATAATAGCATAAGGTAAGAGTTCTTAAAATCTGGTTATCGATTGTATACTGGTTATGACAAATAATTTTGGGGCTTAAAAACAAGGAAAAGATGTCTTATACAATCAAATGTTTTATAATATAAAGCAATTCCAATTAAGAATATTTCTGGTTATTATAACATATTTGTCTCTTCATCTTAAATTTGTTCTAAAAAAAATCAATTTGAATTAACAGATTAGTTTTTTTTTAATTTAAAACTAAAAAATAATTATTATATACTTTATATTTTTTATTCAATTATATATATATAATATTAGTCGAAGAATATATAAACTAATGTTAGTCCTACAAGGAATCCATAAAACAAATATAGTTTAATTTTAAAATTTATATTACTAAGCGCTCACATAGAGAAAACACCTTCTTTAGTGAGTTTCATCACTTTGGATCCTGTCTAGAATAATTTAATATAACCTATGCCCAACTATAAAAATATCGATGCGAATAGTGTTTGGTCTCGGAAATATAGATTATCGTTTTTAAATTAGAAATAGACCCCTAAAAAATACGAGAATGTTTTTGGTTTTAAATCCCATTTTATCTTTCTCTTAAAGGCTTTCTCATTGTTAGATAAAGAGAATTAACCCAAGTAAACTCACTAGAAGTCGACCGTTTCTCTGGGTATCCTGATAATTCAATTTGGTCTTCTACTGTCATTAAAAAAAAATCAGAGGTTCCAAAGTCGCCAAAAAAATGCCTTATCCTTTAACTGCTACAAATATATCGAAGGCATTTTTTTAAAGAAAATATTACATTTAAGTATTTCCGTAGCCTTGATTTATAAAGGCTAACATTGATTGCAGGGGGATGAATATAGGTGATCAAAGGTACCTAGAAATAGTAGAAATAATCCCAATCGTTTTGTTTTAAAGGATATAATTTTAATTTTAATTTATCGCTTTAATATCAAAAATGGCTCAAGATTTAAAATGTAATTATGGGTCGGGTTCGGATATCTTATACATAATTATTTTAAATTATCTTCTAAACTCCAATATGATCGAAAACAAAATTACCGTGACATTTATTAGTTCATTAACATCTATCAGATTTAAGTGTCCTTTATTAATTCGATATAAACAAGAAAATTTATAATATAGTAATAAATTATGTTTAACTGCCAAAAAATAAAAATGTAATAAATTCACTTATTTCTTAGAAATAAACATATTTTTAAAAAATGATAGAAAACTACCTAGGTAAAATAAAATATTTTATTAATCTTATAATGACAGATAAATATACTATAAATAAACCTACTACAATTTATTAATTTTGTATGGTTTATCAAAGGCTCAATGTCCCATAAGATCTCAAGTGAATTAAGAAGAGGTCCTTCCTTGCATAATCGTCTCGATTATTTTTAACACAGGTGACACTTGTTAACCAGTCCAGATAAAGAATGGGAAGGGGGTACTAAAAATCCCTTCCTAATTTTTATAAGTTATATTCGATATTATATAAAATGTAACCAAAATATATTTAAAATAATTATTTTTTTTATTAAAAATGCACCTCATAAGTAGAATTTTTAAAAAGCTTGACTCTTCTCTCAAATTATAGCGAACATACAACGCAGCAAGCAATTTATATGAGTCTAAAAGGATTTGAAGCTCTTAAATACAATCGTTGTTTAGGAGACTTTTTTCCCCGAATTCAACCGCTTAAATAAGAGATATTATAATTTTCTCCTCTTACCCCCCCCCCCACCCTCTTCCGGTTATTTACTTATCCCACTTTCAGAATTTAGGCAAATTTGTTCAAACATAATTCATTATAACCCTTATTTTTCTTGAATTTTAAATAGCCATTTTTTTTCGCCCAGAAAAAAATTTTGAATTATTTTTTTTAACTTTTTCCATACAATTATATACATTAAAACCAGTCAAATCACGTGATCAGATCCATTTCGGGAGAAATTAGATTATTAAGATTTTTTTTTAAAAAAACGCGCTAAATAAATAATTTAAAGTTATTAAACAAATAGCACAATCATTTACTTGAAGCCCCGCCAATTTACATTAATTTTATTTTGTAAAAAAAAATGTAATCCAGAATGTTGTAGAAAACATATTTTTAGTTTATATACTACGAATATTCCTATTGGCGAATTACGCAAATCCCCTGTTGCATAAATAAAGATGAGAGAGAACGTATTTTAGTTTATTGGCCAAATAATTTTTTGGGATAGGGGAGGTGGGGTTTATATAACTTTTAAATAATGTTTTAGGGCAAGTTTTTATAATATATATTTTGCAAAATCTTTTAATGATAATTTTTAATCTATATTCACTAAGTTAAAGTAAAGTTCATATGTGTTAAAATAATAATAATACTTTATATATTTCATATTGAAATCAAAAAATACAATAAATTCCCTTTTTTAAGGGCGATATGATTTATTTACTGTTATATCTACAAATTGCTAGTTGATCG